CAATGATGGATTCTGCAGATAAACCCCATATCATTCAACAAGGTTCTTTGGAAGGGATGTCAATGATGGATTCTGCAGATAAACCCCATATCATTCAACAAGGTACTTTGGAAGAGATGTAAATGATGGATTCTGCAGATAAACCCCATATCATTCAACAAGGTACTTTGGAAGGGATGTCAATGATGGATTCTGCAGATAAACCCCATATCATTCAACAAGGTACTTTGGAAGGGATGTCAATGATGGATTCTGCAGATAAACCCCATATCATTCAACAAGGTACTTTGGAAGGGATGTAAATGATGGATTCTGCAGATAAACCCCATATCACTCAACAAGGTACTTAGGAAGAGATGTCAATAATGGATTCTGCAGATAAACCCCATATCATTCAACAAGGTACTTTGGTAGGGATGTCAATGATGGCTTCTGCAGATAAACCCCATATCATTCAACAAGGTACTTTGGAAGGGATGTCAATGATGGATTCTGCAGATAAACCCCATATCATTCAACAAGGTACTTTGGAAGGGATGTCAATGATGGCTTCTTCAGATAAACCCCATATCATTCAACAAGGTACTTAGGAAGAGATGTAAATGATGGATTCTCCAGATAAACCCCATATCATTCAACAAGGTACTTTGGAAGGGCTGTCAAAGATGGATTCTGCAGATAAACCCCATATCATTCAACAAGGTATTTTGGAAGAGATGTAAATGATGGATTCTGCAGATAAACCCCATATCATTCAAAAAGGTACTTTGGAAGGGATGTCAATGATGGATTCTGCAGATAAACCCCATATCATTCAACAAGGTACTTTGGAAGGGATGTCAATGATGGATTCTGCAGATAAACCCCATATCATTCAACAAGGTACTTTGGAAGGGCTGTCAATGATGGATTCTGCAGATAAACCCCATATCATTCAACAAGGTACTTTGGAAGGGATGTCAATGATGGATTCTGCAGATAAACCCCATATCATTCAACAAGGTTCTTTGGAAGAGATGTCAATGATGGATTCTGCAGATAAACCCCATATCATTCAACAAGGTACTTTGGAAGGGATGTCAATGATGGATCCTGCAGATAAACCCCATATCATTCAACAAGGTACTTTGGAAGGAATGTCAATTATGGATTCTGCAGATAAATCCCATATCATTCAACAAGGTACTTAGGAAGAGATGCCAAAGATGGATTCTGCAGATAAACCCCATATCATTCAACAAGGTACTTAGGAAGAGATGCCAATGATGGATTCTGCAGATAAACCCCATATCATTCAACAAGGTACTTTGGAAGAGATGTAAATGATGGATTCTGCAGATAAACCCCATATCATTCAACAAGGTACTTTGGAAGGGATGTCAAAGATGGATCCTGCAGATAAACCCCATATCATTCAACAAGGTACTTTGGAAGGGATGTCAATGATGGATTCTGCAGATAAACCCCATATCATTCAACAAGGTACTTTGGAAGGGATGTAAATGATGGATTCTGCAGATAAACCCCATATCATTCAACAAGGTATTTAGGAAGACATGCCAAAGATGGCTTCTGCAGATAAACTCATATCATTCAACAAGGTACTTTGGAAGGGATGTAAATGATGGATTCTGCAGATAAACCCCATATCATTCAACAAGGTACTTTGGAAGAGATGTAAATGATGGATTCTACAGATAAACCCCATATCATTCAACATGGTACTTTGGAAGGGATGTCAATGATGGATTCTGCAGATAAACCCCATATCATTCAACAAGGTACTTTGGAAGGGATGTCAATGATGGATTCTGCAGATAAACCCCATATCATTCAACAAGGTACTTTGGAAGGGATGTCAATGATGGCTTCTGCAGATAAACCCCATATCATTCAACAAGGTACTTTGGAAGAGGTGCCAAAGATGGATTTTGCAGATAAACCCCATATCATTCAACAAGGTACTTTGGAAGGGCTGTCAAAGATGGATTCTGCAGATAAACCCCATATCTTTCAACAAGGTACTTTGGAAGAGATGTAAATGATGGATTCTGCAGATAAACCCCATATCATTCAACAAGGTACTTTGGAAGGGATGTCAATGATGGATTCTGCAGATAAACCCCATATCATTCAACAAGGTACTTTGGAAGGTATGTCAATGATGGATTCTGCAGATAAACCCCATATCATCCAACAAGGTACTTTGGAAGGGATGTCAATGATGGATTCTACAGATAAACCCCATATAATTCAACAAGGTACTTTGGAAGAGATGTCAAAGATGGATTCTGCAGATAAACCCCATATCATTCAACAAGGTACTTTGGAAGGGCTGTCAATGATGGATTCTGCAGATAAACCCCATATCATTCAACAAGGTACTTTGGAAGGGATGTCAATGATGGATTCTGCAGATAAACCCCATATCATTCAACAAGGTACTTTGGAAGAGATGTCAATGATGGATTCTGCAGATAAACCCCATATCACTCAACAAGGTACTTAGGAAGAGATGCTAATGATGGATTCTGCAGATAAACCCCATATCATTCAACAAGGTACTTTGGAAGGGATGTCAATGATGGATTCTGCAGATAAACCCCATATCATTCAACAAGGTACTTAGGAAGAGATGTCAAAGATGGATTCTCCAGATAAACCCCATATCATTCAACAAGGTACTTTGGAAGGGATGTCAAAGATGGATTCTGCAGATAAACCCCATATCATTCAACAAGGTACTTTGGAAGAGATGTAAACGAGTCTTTTCTTGTCTTAGATATGAAGAGAGGGCTGCACGTGTAACTTATTTGTCTCTCTTAATTGTGAAGCTGCTCCAGTGTAGTACGAAGCACTTATGTCTGATTGTAAAGACACTGCACACTCAACGTCAATTCTTTGTTCTTGCTTTTTAACGATGTTCGCAAACACGGTGTTACTTCACATTCACATGGGTGCTAAGGTCTAGTTTTGTCAGTACTGGTCACGGTTAAGTCTATTTTAAACTGTTATTTTAGTGATGGGGATTGAGTTGAGTTGAGTTGGTATTTTCGTCACATCGGCATTTTTCCAGCCATATAGTGACGAGATCAAGTCTGAAATAATACACATTTTAAGTACAAAGTCCAAATGAGTTTTATTTTAAAAACATATATATTCATTACATTGTTATTCAAAAACTTAAAATGTCTAATTCAAAAGCACGCGATTCGTTGTTCACATTACATAGTTAAAAAAGTTATTTTAGTGATTGCGTCACCTGTAAAGTGTATGGACATTCTGTTCAGCGTGAACCTGAAACATTCCCCGCACGACGTTAAGCATTTTCGCTCACTAATCTCTGTAGGATTGTGAGATATGACACATACAACATTCATTGTCCCATCCTATACTACACATCAAAAGTGTAGACTCACTAGTGTAAATGTAGCCACTTACTTCAGTCAACTGTTCTAAACTAGATTTTGCAAAATATTCCATACTGTATAAATGTACTGTTTACACATGAACTGATGTATTGTAAAACATATTCGTAACGTTCAAAAGATTATTGTCATGAGTTCAATAAATGATGAAACTCAGTGAAAATTTGCGAATTCTTAAGAAAATTTTACACCAAAACGCAGCTGTTTATATGCACGATATTTGCACGTGCTTTTCGGCAATTTGATGCATGATCCTCATTCAATTCATCTGAATAAGGTTTGCAGTTGGTTCCCCTAAGTTAGTGGAGAAATCAATCTTCGATGTAACCATATATATACATAACATATAGTGAGTGCTTTAAGTGAGTCTAAACTTTTGATGGGTCGTATAGTTTACAAGTTGTACATATATGCACACCCGGAAGGTGGTACCTAAGGAAGGTCATGCATTAGCATTTACGTAAATACCGCCGCTTTCTATGTCCGCACATGACAGATATTTGAAGTTTCAATTAAAGCGTTTATTACAGAGAATGTCGATGGGTACGAGGCCATGATACGTGCGGGATATGGGGGATGGTCAGTGACCCCTGACAAGGTTGCAGCTCTTCAGACCACTACACTACATAAACAAATAGAGATTACGAAAAGTGGGTGTGGGATTGGAAAATATTCCAACGAGATATTTTTAAACGTTTGGATTTATTTACGAGCGAATATTCAACACCCACACGTTTTGTGATTTATTTATTACACAGGACGGGAAAACAGTGTGATCCATGATGACAAATCAAAAAGTAGATGTAAATAACGAAAGGGAGATAACTCTGTCACGACTACTTGATATATGAAAATAAACAATAAAAAATATTCAATTAAAAAAACTACTAATCCCCAGGACACCAAAATTGAAGTTTAATTATCCACAAACCTAATGTTTTGTTTGGTTGACATTTTTGGTAAAAACCTGCTTTAATAGAGTTAAAATGTTAATTTAAAATATCGAGGTGGAAACAGAAAGTTCGACATGGTGACGTCACTATCGTTGAATAACCTAGTTTGGTTACACAACACTAGTTGGATAACTTTCAACTGGTTACATAACACCTGTTTCAAATAACCAAAATTATAAGAGATATTCAGAACACGTGTGTGATAAACACCAGTTCGGGCTGAATGAAGAGTGCCACACACGGTTGTAAGACAGGGGGTACCTGTAGTTGCGTCTATTGTAATTATATGGGGAATACATCCTAGACACCAACGTGATGAGCAAACGCCTTACCTAGCATATTAAACAAAGCTACCAACTATTCTGTTACCTTTTCCCGAAGTTTGAAAACTTTATGGTATCTGAATTGACAGGGGAAAATTGTTATCCACAGTTTACCGTTGTGGATGTAGGTGAACTGACAGGTGAAATCGCTGCCACACAGTTGTGGAGGATTGAATCAAACCCCGTTGTTGAGCGTGACGACTGCCCCACTGGGCAGATGTATGTTGATACCATGGTGATACGTGCTCATGACGTCCTTTATGACCAGTAAGAAAACTATTAGCAACAAATAATTTATTGAATTTGATTTATTGCAATCACACGCCCTCAGTGATCGAAGCTCATGTCTGTTCAACAACGCTAAGTCTCCTGTTGCTTAGATGTCATCCACATAAACAGAGGACACGAACTCTGAACATTTTAATGATTAATCATGCATCATGGGGTACAGATGCAAAGCAGGAAAACATGAAATTATGAATAAAAACATTCCATGAACATTGTCTGATCTACCAGAGGCAAACTGTAGCGCAAATAGAGTTGTGCAACAGAGAGAAAATGACCAGTCTTCCTATATACGAGCGAACCGAGCAGATTTTGACAACGTACTTCCGTTTCGGTTCGAAAAATATTATTAATGTCAAAATAAAATATCGCCGCCTTCAAAGGTCGACACCCATTTCCTCACAGGGTTGTGCTGTCAGATTTCCAGCCTCATATTTAAACATTACTCACGTAACATATATTTCATTCAACATTTTAAGCGCCACTCGTGGCATATCAAATCGTTCTTCGCCTCCATTACCCTTGCCAGCTTCCGGTTCAACAAGTTGAACAACCAAGCCCACCATGGATACAGTTTAGCTCCGGGGAGTGTTCAGATGGGTCCGACTAAGCGGAATCTGTATCAACTGTGACTTGATATGTATCAATAATATCATTACGTACTGTTAAAGAGTTTCTTCTTTAGTTACGATATGTTGTAAAGTGTGTTGTGGGGAGTTGTGTCTATCTCCGATATGTCTTCATAAAGATCGTCCGACTCCGGTGTGTCTTGTTCCAATGTGTCTTCATCAAGTACATCTTGCTCAGTTCTGTCTGGCTCCGGTATTTCATGGTAAACTGTCTCTTGTTCCAATGCATCTCCATCACGTGCTTCTTGTACAGTTGTGTCGAGGACCGGTATGTTTTGATAAAGTGTTTCTTGTCCCAATATGACTTCATCAATTGCGTCTTGTTCAGGTGTTTCTGGCTCTTTTGTGTCTTCATCAAGCTCGTCTTTTTCTGGCATCCTGTCTTCTGCCGGTGTTAATCTGTTCTTTGATATATTTGACGGCATTCCGCTCCTCAAGCACTTTTTATCGGCCGAGACATAGGTTGAGTTGACTACGATGACTTCAGAAGTAGCTGACGCTCCAACAACAACTTTGTTAGGCTCCCCTTCTCCAGCAGCGACAACGTCAGCCACAGTGGCATACTCAGACGTACTGCCTTCTGCCATCACTACAACGTCGGGAGAACGTTCCGAATGAAGCTTCTGACATGCCTGTCGTCTCTTCCAGAGAAATGTAACAATGGCGATTGCGTTGACGATGACAAGGGTGACAGCGACAGTTTTGTATACAGAGCAGTCGCAGCTTTGAGGACCTGTGGCGAAAAACATGTGGTGTGTTATGTGTGTTGAGATCGCACAGTGATATGTACTGATATGACCATACTGATAGATATATACTACAGGTAGATGATGACACCTATAACAGATATATACTACAGGTAGATCATGACACCTATAATAGATATACACTACAGGTATATGATGAGACCTATAACAGATATACTACAGGTAGATCATGACACCTGTAATAGATATACACTACAGGTATATGATGACACCTATAACAGATATATACTACAGGTAGATCATGACACCTGTAATAGATATACACTGCAGGCAGATGATGGCACCTGTAATAGATATATACTACAGGTAGATCATGACACCTGTAATAGATATATACTACAGGTAGATGATGGCACGTGTTATAGATATATACTACAGGTAGATCATGACACCTGAAATAGATATATACTACAGGTAGATCATGACACCTGTACTAGACATATACTACAGGTAGATGATTGCAAATGTACTAGATATATACTACAGGTAGATGATGGCACCTGTAATAGATATATACTACAGGTAGATGATGGCACCTGTAATAGATATATACTACAGATAGATGATGACACCTATAACAGATATATACTACAGGTAGATCATGACACCCATAATAGATATACACTACAGGTATATGATGAGACCTATAACAGATATACTACAGGTAGATCATGACACCTGTAATAGATATACACTACAGGTATATGATGACACCTATAACAGATATATACTACAGGTAGATCATGACACCTGTAATAGATATACACTGCAGGCAGATGATGGCACCTGTAATAGATATATACTACAGGTAGATCATGACACCTGTAATAGATATATACTACAGGTAGATGATGGCACGTGTTATAGATATATACTACAGGTAAATGATGGCACCTGAAATAGATGTATACTACAGGTAGATCATGACACCTGTACTAGACATATACTACAGGTAGATGATTGCAAATGTACTAGATATATACTACAGGTAGATGATGGCACCTGTAATAGATATATACTACAGGTAGATGATGGCACCTGTAATAGATATATACTACAGGTAGATGATGGCACCTGTAATAGATATATACTACAGATAGATGATGACACCTGTAACAGATATATACTACAGGTAGATGATGGCACCTGTAATAGATATACACTACAGGTAGACGATGCCACCTGTAATAGATATATACTACAGGTAGATGATGGCACCTGTAATAGATATATACTACAGGTAGATGATGACACCTATAACAGATATATACTACAGGTAGATGATGGAACCTGTAACAGACATATACTACAGGTAGATGATGGCAGCTTTAATAGATATAAACTACAGGTAGATGATGGCACCTGTAATAGATATAGACTACAGGTAGATGATGGCACCTGTAATAGATATTTGCTACAGGTAAACGATGGAACCTGTAATAGATATATACTACAGGTAGATGATGTCACCTGTAATAGATATATACTACAGGTAGATGATGGCACCTGTAATAGATATATACTACAGGTAGGTGATGGCACCTCTCATAGATATATACTACAGGGAGACGATGTCACCTGTAATAGATATACATTACAGGTAGATGATGTCACCTGTAATAGACATATACTGCAGGTAGACGATGGCACCTGTAAAAGATATATACTACAGGTAGATGATGGCACCTGTAATAGATATATACTACAGGTAACCGATGGCACCTTTGAAAGATATATACTACAGGTAAATGATGACACCTGTAATAGATATATACTACAGGTAGATGATGGCACCTGTAATAAATATATACTACAGGTAGATGATGGCACCTGTAATAGATATATACTACAGGTAGATGATGGCACCTGTAATAGATATATACTACAGGTAGGTGATGGCACCTCTCATAGATATATACTACAGGGAGACGATGTCACCTGTAATAGATATACATTACAGGTAGATGATGGCACCTGTAATAGACATATACTGCAGGTAGACGATGGCACCTGTAATAGATATATACTACAGGTAGATGATGGCACCTGTAATAGATATATACTACAGGTAACCGATGGCACCTTTGAAAGACATATACTACAGGTAGATGATGGCACCTGTAATAGATATATACTACAGGTAGATGATGGCACCTGTAATAAATATATACTACAGGTAGATGATGGCACCTGTAATAGATATATACTACAGGTAGATGATGGCACCTGTAATAGATATATACTACAGGTAGATGATGGCACCTGTAATAGATATATACTACAGGTAAACGATGGCACCTGTAATAGATATATACTACAGGTAGACGATGGCACCTTTAATAAATATACACTACAGGTAGATGATGGCACCTGTAATAGACATATACTACAGGTAGATGATGGCACCTTTTTTTATACTACAGGTAGATGATGGCACCTGTAACAGATATATACTACCGGGAGACGATGTCACCTGTAATAGATTTATACTACAGGTAGATGATGGCACCTGTAATAGATATACACTACAGGTAGATGATGGCACCTGTAATAGACATATACTGCAGGTAGACGATGGCACCTGTAATAGATATATACTACAGGTAGATGATGGCACCTGTAATAGATATATACTACAGGTAACCGATGGCACCTTTGAAAGATATATACTACAGGTAGATGATGGCACCTGTAATAGATATATACTACAGGTAGATGATGGCACCTGTAATAGATATATACTACAGGTAGATGATGGCACCTGTAATAAATATATACTACAGGTAGATGATGGCACCTGTAATAGATATATACTACAGGTAGATGATGGCACCTGTAATAGATATATACTACAGGTAGGTGATGGCACCTGTAATAGATATATACTACAGGTAGGTGATGGCACCTCTCATAGATATATACTACAGGGAGACGATGTCACCTGTAATAGATATACATTACAGGTAGATGATGGCACCTGTTATAGACATATACTGCAGGTAGACGATGGCACCTGTAATAGATATATACTACAGGTAGATGATGGCACCTGTAATAGATATATACTACAGGTAACCGATGGCACCTTTGAAAGATATATACTACAGGTAGATGATGGCACCTGTAATAGATATATACTACAGGTAGATGATGGCACCTGTAATAGATATATACTACAGGTAAACGATGGCACCTGTAATAGATATATACTACAGGTAGACGATGGTGCCTTTAATAAATATACACTACAGGTAGATGATGGCACCTGTAATAGATATATACTACAGGTAGATGATGGCACCTTTTTTATACTACAGGTAGATGATGGCACCTGTAATAGATATATACTACCGGGAGACGATGTCACCTGTAATAGATTTATACTACAGGTAGATGATGGCACCTGTAATAGATATACACTACAGGTAGACGATGTCACCTGTAATAGATATACGCTACAGGTAGATGATGGCACCTGTAAGAGATATATACTACAGGTAGATGATGGCACCTGTAATAGATATATACTACAGGTAGATGATGGCACCTGTAATAGATATACACTACATGTAGATGATGGCACTTGTAATAGATATACACTACAGGTAGATGATGGCACCTGTTATAGATATATACTACAGGCAGATGATGGCACCTGTTATAGATATATACTACAGGTAGATGATGGCACCTGTAATAGATATATACTACAGGTAGATGATGGCACCTGTAATAGATATATACTACAGGTAGATGATGGCACCTGTAATAGATATATACTACATGTAGATGATGGCACTTGTAATAGATATACACTACAGGTAGATGATGGCACCTGTTATAGATATATACTACAGGCAGATGATGGGACCTGTAATAGCTATATACTACAGCTAGATGATGGCGCCTGTAATAGATATATACTACCGGTAGATGATGGCACCTGTAATAGATGTATACTACAGGTAGATGATGACACCTGTAAAAGATATATACTACAGGTAGATGATGGCACCTGTAATAGATATATACTACAGGTAGATGATGGCACCTGTAATAGATATATACTACAGGTAGATGCCACCTGTAATAGATATATACTACAGGTAAACGATGGCACCTGTAATAGATATATACTACAGGTAGATGATGGCACCTGTAATAGACATATACTACAGGTAGATGATGGCACCTTTTTTTTATACTACAGGTAGATGATGGCACCTGTAATAGATATATACTACAGGGAGATGATGGAACCTGTAATAGATATATACTACAGGGAGACGATGTCACCTGTAATAGATATACACTACAGGTAGATGATGGCACCTGTAATAGATATATACTACAGGTAAACGATGGCACCTGTAATAGATATATACTACAGGTAGACGATGGCACCTGTAATAGATATATACTACAGGTAGATGATGGCACCTTTTTTTTATACTACAGGTAGATGATGGCACCTGTAATAGATATATACTACAGGTAAACGATGGCACCTGTAATAGACATATACTACAGGTAGATGATGGCACCTTTTTTTTATACTACAGGTAGATGATGGCACCTGTAATAGATATATACTACAGGGAGATGATGGAACCTGTAATAGATATATACTACAGGGAGACGATGTCACCTGTAATAGATATACACTACAGGTAGATGATGGCACCTGTAATAGATATATACTACAGGTAGATGATGGCACCCGTTTCAGAAATATGGCATACTGGTTGTTGTGTCGCATACTACATGAACAAATCCCTGTTGGTTACTGGATTAATACAAATGTACATAAAGCGTCCTTCAATAACACTGGTGTTTGAAATATAGATGGATAATCATATACATATTTATACGAAGGCAAAGGGGCATGCCTCAGACATTTTGAAACATATCCCCAATGTGGATATGAGAGAATGAAAACAAAATATTATACGGGTTGCTTCCAACTATGACAGGTTGTGTTGCAGAAAGGCTGGAAATGTTACCTACCTGAGGTATTGGAGGAAAGGTTACCTACCTGAGGTATTGGAGGAAAGGTTACCTACCTGAGGTATTGGAGGGAAAGTTACCTCCCTGAGGTATTGGAGGAAAGGTTACCTATTTGAGATAGTGGAGGAAAGGTTACCTACCTGAGGTATTGGAGGAAAGGTTACCTATTTGAGATAGTGGAGGAAAGGTTACCTACCTAGGGTAGTGGAGGAAAGGTTACCTACCTGAGATAGTGGAGGAAAGGTTACCTACCTGAGGAAAGTACCTACCTGAGATAGTGGAGGAAAGGTTACCTACCTGAGATAGTGGAGGAAAGGTTACCTACCTGAGATAGTGGAGGAAAGGTTACCTACCTGGGGTAGTGGAGGAAAGGTTACCTACCTGAGATAGTGGAGGAAAGGTTACCTACCTGGGGTAGTGGAGGAAAGGTTACCTACCTGAGATAGTGGAGGAAAGGTTACCTACCTGGGGTATTGGAGGAAAGGTTACCTACCTGGGGTAGTGGAGGAAAGGTTACCTACCTGGGGTAGTGGAGGAAAGGTTACCTACCTGGGGTAGTGGAGGAAAGGTTACCTACCTGAGGTATTGGAGGAAAGGTTACCTACCTGAGGTATTGGAGGAAAGGTTACCTACCTGAGGTATTGGAGGAAAGGTTACCTATTTGAGATAGTGGAGGAAAGGTTACCTACCTGAGGTATTGGAGGAAAGGTTACCTATTTGAGATAGTGGAGGAAAGGTTACCTACCTGGGGTAGTGGAGGAAAGGTTACCTACCTGGGGTAGTGGAGGAAAGGTTACCTACCTGAGGTATTGGAGGAAAGGTTACCTACCTGAGGTATTGGAGGAAAGGTTACCTACCTGAGGTATTGGAGGAAAGGTTACCTACCTGAGATAGTGGAGGAAAGGTTACCTACCTGAGGTATTGGAGGAAAGGTTACCTATTTGAGATAGTGGAGGAAAGGTTACCTACCTAGTGGAGGGTAGTGGATTGGAGAAAGGTTACCTACCTGAGGTATTGGAGGAAAGGTTACCTACCTGGGGTAGTGGAGGAAAGGTTACCTACCTGAGGTAGTGGAGGAAAGGTTACCTACCTGAGATAGTGGAGGAAAGGTTACCTACCTGAGATAGTGGAGGAAAGGTTACCTACCTGGGGTAGTGGAGGAAAGGTTACCTACCTGGGGTAGTGGAGGAAAGGTTACCTACCCGGGGTAGTGGAGGAGTTCGGGGCTTCCGTCGGAGTGCCTGCAACGTAGACGTGCCTGCAAAGAAAACATGAAGTCACGTGACAATGCGTGTCTCAGTTAATTCATCACGTCTGTTCTACGATAAAGAGACTTGGGGCATGTAGAAAACCACTCACGTACGCACGCACGCTCATAAACACACACAAATACACTTCACAGGTTAAGTCAAATACATTGAAAGCCTATTGTAATACTATTGATCCAGCCGTACACCCGTCCAGAAATGTACGTAATCCGTCCGTCCGTCCCCCCATCCATCCATCAGCCCATCCATCCACCAGTCAATCCATCCGTCATTTCAGTATGCTGTTACCAGATAGTCGCCCCGATGAACCTGTGGGTCATGGTGCGGCAGGCGTGTCAGATAGCCTCCCTGTCCAACTGGCTTGTATGTTTGGGCATCTCACGGGCGACGTTGCACATGCGGCCCTGGATCACAGTGTTGACTGAATGTTTCCGGCTTAAACACATTAATTCTTTCCGGGTCTTGATGAGGGATGACCTCGCAACACTTCTATCACTGTCTTAAATTAAACGAAAGAGTTGCAATTGGCATTGGCAGTGTATTAGTGTTTTTTTCCACTTTTACTTGATTCCGTAGATCGATGTGTCAATCATGGGATTATCTTGTCCAGACTCGATTACTATCAGATCGCCGCCATATCCATGTAACTGCCAATGCGACGTTGAACAACAACCAACTAAACAGTTCTTACTTTCCAAGATATTCCGTTATGCGTAAGCAGTACTACTGCGGCGCCCAACACGATCTCGGCCTTAAGTAATTAAGAAAACTTATCAAGTTTGCTCCGACTAGTGGACCCTCCCCATGACCTCAAATTCCAGTGACGTGGAGCTTGATACCGAGGTAATAGTAATAGCTTTTATTACTTGATGTTATTTGTTTTATCCGGTAAGTAAGTTAACCGAGGCGTGGATAAGCCCTTTTGCTATGGTTTATTATTGATACTATGAAAACTATACGTTTTTCCATGTGTATAGCTTGTCCTACTTCCAACAACAAAACTATCGACCAATCAAATCGCTCCGATCCTCAGACTGACTCCCATTCGTTTGTTGACATCATCTCTGAAGAAACAAGTCGCACCGTGAGAACACACGCCAGGGCGCCGCAATTCGCTGGACAGGGTCGCTTGCCTCGTGACACCTCGTGAAGCGCAAGGTAACAAACACTAGGCAAGGATGAGCAGGCAGAGTCCACCGATGGGTGACTGTGTTCGGCAGCTTGACTCCTGTGACTGTCTTGAGCCGCCCTGCTGCTCTACGCTGAAGTACATGCAGCACACGTGGTGTCTCCTTGGACAGTTGACTGAGTTCAGCCTGTAGGATGACATGATCACTGTTAACCGTCTAGTACCTCACGACTGTATACTTCCCAGGGAGAAAGGAGTCGAAATCTAGTGAAAACTTGGGTGATACTGATGTAAGACCATGAGCCGTCACTTTGTGAATGGAATCTGGCGCAATATAAAGGCACATATGATAAATCATTATTGTTATGTGATTTGATGCGATAGATATCGAAAGAAAGTAGGACATGAGTTCACAGTATCGTTCAATGAATTTCTGACATCATAAACACAACAACGTCAAATAGTTCCAAGGGCACTATCAGTGTAAACGCTTAATGTCCGATTCTTTCATTGCATGCCAATAATCTGATTGTCTGCGTTGTTTCATTCTCTGTTAGTCTGACCAGTGAAGATCCGGGTAAGAATTGGTCTTCATTATTGCTTGTGGTAAGAGGCGACTAACGGGATCGGTTGGTCAGGCTCGCTGACTTGTTTGACACATGTCATCGTATCCCAATTGTGTTGCACGATGCTCATGCTGTTGATCACTGGATAGTCAGGTCCAGACTCGATTATTTACAGACCGCCGACAGATAGCTGGAATATTGGTGAGTGCGGCGTTAAACAACCAATCAGTCAACTCTGTTGTCTGCATGACGGTGGCACAATGTACTGTATGTCTGACAACACACTGTACTGTATGTCTGACAACACACTGTACTGCATGTCTGACAACACACTGTACTGTATGCCTGACAACACACTGTACTGCATGTCTGACAACATACTGTACTGTATGCCTGACAACACACTGTACTGTGTGTAAACATGATATTGTCCCGTGTAAGCCTGATACACACCTGGGCTTTGCGCTGCATACATTCACTCGGCGGTTTCATGGAGTGAGCGAGTGAGCGAGTGAGCGAGTGAGCGAGTGAGTGAGTGAGCGAGTGAGTGAGCGAGTGAGTGGTTTTGCGCCGCTCTTAGCAATATTCCATCAATGTCCCTACGGGAGACAGCAGAAATAGACTTCACACATTGTACCCATGAGGGGAATCTAACCCTGTCTTGGGCGTGACGAGCGAACGCTATAACCATTAGGCTACCCCACCGCCCCGGTGGTTTCATAAACAAGTAAGACGACTTCCCGTATCACAGCGTCTGGTCTAGTCTTCTGCTGTTACATTGCATTGAATGTTTACAAATCCGTTTTCTAAACGGAGTCTTCTGAGAATAAGGAAATAGAGATATCATGTGCTATGCCTTGTTCAAATGTATGAATGTCTTGACTAAATGGGGAAGTGAAAACTTCCTCGGTCGTTGTGCTGTCATAAACTGTAATATTGTGGATGACACTTTAACAAAACCAATATAGAACATTCTGATTTCCTTAAAGGTCACATGCAACCAAAAAATCAAACATAATTAAAACACAATTATCACTTCTTCATGACATATAATATGCATTGCTGATTATGAAAAAACAAATAAACAAAATTATAAGCGTAAAATCGCTAATCAAAAGTGCAATATTTTGTACTTGGGTTTACCTCCCTCGAAACGAAGCAGCCGGGATACCGAACCCAGTAAGAGCGGGTGGGTGTGCACTCAAGTGTAACGTCTGGTTCATTAGCAGATGCCGCCTTCACGGCTTATTGTGTGTGTATATATAGAAAGTTGGGTTTTGGAAATACATGCTCATTTTTAACATGTCATGTGTTCAAGTATCACACCTGCCTGTCTGTGTAATTACATAATGTGACAGAGACCGAACTCGGGCCATAAATCAATGCGTTTTGTTTATGGTGTATAGCCTGATTGGTGTTAAGTTCAAATTGCATGTGGTCAGTGATCGCAGTTGTGTATTGAATATTGTCATTAGCAGCAGAGACCATATAATCTATTATATGGTCTCTGTTAGCAGACAGGCAGGCAGACACACAGGTGTCAATAAAGCAAGACATTGAGTTTTGTCTGTGACAGCGACATATCTATATCACAGTTAGAAATTGTGTCAACTCTAAATAATGACATTGCTTTTAAGTATCGAACTGAGAAAGTGACTCGGTAAGAAGAACGTGTGTTGAAATAGACAAATCAAATTATATAAACAGTTTATTTACTGTCATAACATACAAAAAGCTCGCGCCTGTGAGATATCAACGAAACATTATGAAAATAGCTCACACCAAAGCCTTCGCCGAGTATTCACCAGACAGCCAACTTCCAAGTTGCGCGAACCTATTTCACTGCGCACGTGCTATGAGCGCAGCCCAGCTGTTGAAACCCGTATTCCCCAGAAAAGTCTGGGGAAAATTAGTGAAACGTTTGAACTCCGATTTCGCGCGTTTTTTTTCATCGCGTTATTTTTCAACTTAATAAGTTAAATTTGCATTTTTGACGCTTTGTTTCGGTAAGTCCATACCGAAAGGTATCAGAATCTGCAAAGTTGTGTTTTACGTTGCATGTGACCTTTAAAGGTCTGTCAGAGACAGAATATCACGGGTTGTATTAGGTAAAGTGTTAGTCCTAGCCCATGTCCTCACGTATGTCCTAGCCTATGTCCTCTCGTATGTCCTAACCTATGTCCTCTCGTGTGTCCTAGCCTATGTCCTCTCGTGTGTCCTAGCCTATGTCCTCTCGTGTGTCCTATGTCCTCTCGTGTGTCCTAACCTATGTCCTCTTGTGTGTCCTAGCCTATGTCCTCTCGTGTGTCCTAACCTATGTCCTCTCCTATGTCCTCTCGTGTGTCCTAGCCTATGTCCTCTCGTGTGTCCTAGCCTATGTCCTCTCGTATGTCCTAACCTATGTCCTCACGTATGTCCTAACCTATATCCTCTCGTGTGTCCTAGCCTATGTCCTCTCCTATGTTCTAACCTATATCCTCTCGTATGTCATAACCTATGTCCTCTCGTATGTCCTAGCCTAGTCCTCTCGTATGTCCTAGCCTATGTCCTCTCGTGTGTCCTAGCCTATGTCCTCTCGTGTGTCCTAGCCTATGTCCTCTCGTATGTCATAACCTATATCCTCTCTTATGTTCTAGCGCATGTCCTAACCTATATCCTCTCGTATGTCCTAGCCTATGTCCTCTCCTATGTTCTAACCTATATCCTCTCGTATGTCATAACCTATGTCCTCTCGTATGTCATAACCTATGTCCTCTCGTATGTCCTAGCCTAGTCCTCTCGTATGTCCTAGCCTATGTCCTCTCGTGTGTCCTAGCCTATGTCCTCTCGTGTGTCCTAGCCTATGTCCTCTCGTATGTCATAACCTATATCCTCTCTTATGTTCTAGCGCATGTCCTAACCTATGTCCTCTCGTATGTCCTAGCCTATGTCCTCTCGTATGTCATAACCTATATCCTCTCTTATGTTCTAGCGCATATCATAACATTTGTGCTCTCGTATGTCCTAGCCTATGTCCTAGCCTGTGTCCTCTCGTGTGTCCTAGCCTATGTCCTCTCGTATGTCATAACCTATATCCTCTCTTATGTTCTAGCGCATGTCATAACCTATGTCCTCTCGTATGTCATAACCTATATCCTCTCTTATGTTCTAGCGCATGTCATAACATATGTCCTCTCGTATGTCCTAGCCTATGTCCTCTCGTATGTCATAACCTACATCCTCTCTTATGTTCTAGCGCATGTCATAACATATGTCCTCTCGTATGTCCTAGCCTATGTCCTCTCGTATGTCATAACCTATGTCCTCTCGTGTGTCCTAGCCTATGTCCTCTCGTATGTCATAACCTTAATCCTCTCGTATGTTCTAGCGCATGTTATAACCTATGTCCTCTCGTATGTCCTAGCCTATGTCCTCTCGTATGTCATAACCTATATCCTCTCTTATGTTCTAGCGCATGTCATAACCTATGTCCTCTCGTATGTCATAACCTATGTCCTCTCGTATGTCATAACCTATATCCTCTTGTATGTTCTAGCGCATGTCCTCTCGTATGTTCTAACCTATGTCCTCTCGTATGTTCTAGCGCATGTCCTCTCGTGTGTCCTAGCCTATATCCTCTCGTGTGTCCTAGCCTATATCCTCTCGTGTGTCCTAGTGCATGTCCTCACGTATGTCCTAGCCTATGTCCTCTCGTGTGTCCTAGCCTATGTCCTCTCGTATGTCCTAGCCTATATCCTCTCGTATGTTCTAGCGCATGTCATAACTTTTGTCCTCTCGTATGTCCTATCCTATGTCCTCTCGTATGTCCTAGCCTATGTCCTCTCGTATGTCCTAACCTATATCCTCTCGTATGTTCTAGCACATGTCCTAAACTATATCCTCTCGTATGTTCTAGCGCATGTCATAACCTATGTCCTCTCGTATGTCATAACCTATGTCCTCTCGTATGTCATAACCTATATCCTCTCGTATGTTCTACGCATGCCTAACCTATGTCCTCTCGTATGTCATAACCTATGTCCTCTCGCGTGTCCTATCCTATGTCCTCTCGTATGTTCTAACCTATATCCTCACGGTTGTCCTAACCTTTTTTTCTTCTCGTATGTTCTAGCACATATCCTAACCCATGTTATCTCGTATGTTCTAGCGCATGCCTAACCTATGTCCCCTCGTGTGTCCTAGCGAATGTCCTCTCGTGTTTCCTGACCTATGTCCTCTCGTATGTTCTAACGCATGTCCTAGCCTATGTCCTCTCATATGTTCTAGCGAATGTCCTCTCTTGTGTCCTAACCTATGTCATCTCGTATGTTCTAACGTATGTCCATCAAATGTCCTACCGCGTGTTCTAGCCTATGCCCTATCGCGTGTCCTAGTGTATGCCCTATCGCGTGTCTTAGCAAATGTCCTCTCGCGTGTCCTAGCCTGTCTCCTAACGTATGTCTCATCGTGTGTGAATGTCCTCGCATATGTACAAAGGAATTTGACTGTCCTAGGGTCCAACGAGGGATCCTTTTACGACACTACTTTCACATGACACGGGGTTTTGCAAAGCGCATGCCATTATCGTACACAGGCTCTGTACCGGAAACAGAGCGGCATGACAGGTGCATACACGTCTACAATAGTCACGTTACACATGATGGCGTTTCCTACCTCAGTTGAAACAGTGTGTATTTTATCCGAGACACAACCGATAGTTGATACTATTTTTATTTAGACACCACGCGTGCAAGTGGCACAATGTGTATAAAGTCCCTGATATAACACTGGACACAATATGTATGTAGCCCACCACACAACACGTGCATTGGACACGCATTGCCAGATTCAACACGCTCAGTTGATACATTGCTAGACACCACACGCACAGTCTTTTTGTAAGAAAGGAATACCGGTTACCGCTGATACAGCAACAGGAGTTGATAGCCCCGTTATTCCCTATACCAAGGCCTGGTCCAATCAGATCCGTTAAGCTCAGGTTTTCAAGCTGTGTCATTAAAGAGCCGTGGTATAAAACCTAAGATCGTGTGACAACAATAGATGATAACCCACTAACATTGAAGGTGGTCAGGGAAAAAGACTTACAACAACGAAAGTGACATCGATCTTTGAGTACCAGTCTGTCTCACAGTCCCTGAACAGTGTTATATTCCCTTCCGCCCAGCCCTGCCTGCAATGATAAAACCCCAAACTAAGCAAGTCTAGACTCCCTGAATTATTAACCTCATTGAAAGTAATAGGGGTGACTATTGAGGGGGAAACAACTATTGCGATAGCGATAGTCTATTGCGACCAACTATTGCAATACTAAAGTACTGTCGGAAATAGAAAAAGTCTGTTTTTAGGCTGTTATTCTGTATCCCTAAAATTTACACAATTGCAAATAGCATATGTCGAAATAACCCACTTCGGCCTAACTGGGCGTTCAGAGGGATGCGTAATACGATATCCAGAAAAGCATGTTTGCTCGTAAAATCGGGCAAAACTTAGAAAACATACGAATAGCTGCTGAAAACAATAGATCAGACTATAGATGGCAATTAGGTTGCTCAGCCAGGTATGACGACGGACCGTCAACTCACCTGGCATGAAATGCACGTGCTGCCTACAGGCACAAAGGGGTCATCTCAAAGATATTTTGTGCTTTTTCATGTGTGTTGACTATGTCTCATCTATTGATTAACATCTTAAGTGTCTTTCTTTCATATAGTTTCTTGGGTTTATGTTGAGATATGTGAAAGAGTATGATACCCGAAAACCATAGCAACGCATCGTAGTCTATAGGTGGCATGACCACCCGAAGATCGACAGACTGGATATTATTTGTAAATTGTTATGACGTGCCGTGTACCTCCCCAGTATAGTATTTTGAGGCGACCCCTCCTATCTGTTTCTTTTTATAGTGACAGTGAGACTGCATGGTAGCTACATCCTTAATAGTTTCGGCATGTAAGTTATTATTTTTGACGTCGGCTATCGTTTATAATGAATCTACGTCTAATTTCAAATTGGGCATATAAAATGTGTCCTTTGTAATACAATATCGTCGCACACTAATTTGCATAAAGCCATGGTCTGTTCCAAATAAGTCTTTTTGGACTTAGCAAAAACCCGCATTGCTCATTTCTGCACTAATTTCCCCCTCAGTAAAGTCCTTTTTCTCCGTTTCCTATCTCTCTACCACCGAAACTGTAGTTAGGTCGAACTTAGTTTAAAAGATATTTCACAATTTCACATATCAACTACATAAATTGTAGAGATAAATGAGAAAATACCGTTTTTTTTCTATTTCCGACAGTACTTTAGTGTATTTTACTTGAAGTGTCTCATTTGAAGTCATTTCCCAAAGGAATGTATATAGTTTATATGAAATAAAAACAAATTGAAGCAATTTCTGTTAATAACTGACAAGAAACCTGAAACCCAGATCAAGTAAACAGTTAAAACATAAACTTATTGTTATTCCCAATTTCAAACCCCGAGTCGCATGCCGTTTCTGCCGCCATGTTTGTTTAAGAGGTAACAGGGGCGGATAACTCTAAATCAAAGTGAACGAATCTGGTACTTCCTGGCATTCATAAACGGAAGCCAATTACTAAACTATCGATACTCACACATACTATCGATGCATCGATAGTTTTTCGTTTCTTCCATCTATTAATTGTCTTTGTAGATTCAACAATTGCAATCCATCGATAGTTCGATGCATCGTTACACCACTACACTCTTGTAGTTGGAACATTGTTGCATGAAACAACAAACCAAACAGCTAAGACCAGTCAGACCAAGGGCATAGTATGCCTATGTATAAGCTTGGGGTGTGTCGCTATCTACATTGTCACATATGTACACAGGATACTTATCAGCTAATATGATGCCACCACAGTACTTGTCAGTGGATGAAAAGATCCCAAACACAGTTATCTGAGCCAGCTGGAGAACAGCGTCATCCGGGACGGAAGTCCGTGGTCACAGATACAGTTCCTGGTGACGCTCCACAACATGGCTGAGATTGTGTTCTGTTAGACAGGCAGGGCAGTGATTCTGCATCAGCCTTTGACTTCGGTTGCCGCTGTGTGTTGCCGCTGTGTGTTGCCACCGAAAAGACACTGAATACTGGAGGTGAAGGAGAGTTTTACAGCTGTACAGGTATGTATCAGATCGGCGACTGTTAATCGAAGTTGAATAAAAAACCATGTGCTCTTGAAATGCTTATGGTGCCAAGTGACATGTGAGTAGTGTGCTGACGGTGGCATGTCGATTTAGATGAAGCTATGTGGTTCTGTTGATGTCAAATTTATACATTTAAGGTGTTTTATGTAGACACTGCGGGCAATATCGTGACGAGAGTTTCAAGTGACACCTCGTCACGATTCCATTTGCGCCGTTAACATTTGGAGTTATTGAAGTTACATAAGACGGATTTTGACATTTTGATAAATGTCATCTCGTCAGTGTACAAGAAGATTCAGCTCCATGTGCCGGTACATGCAGCTAGTGTCACTCATAATGGTTTAACAGATACAGACAACTTTCCACATTTATAAGTCGATTGTATAAAGAATCGCTGATAAAAGTAGAGTCAATCGTACGATTGCTCGGGAAAAGGCGTGCATAGCCGGCCCCGCCCGTGACATACATCACAAACACACGCGAAGGCAAGTAAACTGGTTACCTACACAGCTCCCTAATAACTATGGAATGTGATCTGTATAAACCAGTGCCAAGGGCATGCGGTCTTACCTTGGCAAGTGAGTTCAAACTTTCCCCTATTCACCCAGCAGAAAATGGGTACCCGGTTGGATAGGTCATGTGACTAATAACCTACCGACTAACTGGCAGGTTGGTTATCCGGGGTAATTATAGTCAGATTGTTAGCGCTACGAGCATCCACCTTGTGAGTGGAGTTTATAGCATTATAAATGCACTTTTTATCATTATGTGTCAATACTGATGATTGTGAAACACCTGTTGTGAATCTTTTACTTTGACGCCATCACTCCACGGTTCTGCACACTCACTCTGCACATAAGACGAATGTAACTGTATATACGCCATGCTTCTGGTAAATGCTTCAGCAGGACGTTCAACACTGACTGAGTTTAGTTTTACGCCGCTTTTAGGACAGACGGAAATGGGTGAAACATGTGGGGAATCGAACCCGGGTCTTCGGCGTGAGAGCCAACGCTTTAAACACAGGGGACAGCTGGGCTACCGAGGTTGTTGGAGGACAGGCTGTCACCCACATAGACTATGTGGTTTAATACACTGTATAAGCTTATATATCCTATATTAATTTATTCCCTTTAATATGTGTTATATAACTATATATATGCGTTATATTTATGTATTGCTGAGTGCGGCGTAAAACTAACCTCACTCACTCACTATATTTATGCAGATGGCCGCTGGGCCTAAGACTGAGGTTGTTCCGAGTTCAGGATTCTTACAATCAACGCTTCTGGTCGTCATGGCGATACAGACCTGCTCCAGTAAGTGCTTCGTCTGTCAACTTTATATATATATATTCATATTGCCTCAGGTCAAGATTGAAACTGGGGCGGTCGGGTAGCCTAGTGGTTAAAGCGTTGGCTCGTCACGCCGAAGACCCGGGTTCGAATACCCACATGGGTACAATGAGTGAAGCCCATTTCTGGTGTCCCCCGCCGTGATATTGCTGGAATATTGCTAAAAGCGGCGTAAAACCAAACTCAGTCAGTCAGTCAAGATGGAAACTGCATCCCCGTTTGAACAGTATGATACGTATTGATGTAGTATGATGTGTATTGATATATTATGAGGCGTATTGATGTAGTATGATGCGTATTAATATAGTATGGTACGTATTGATACAGTATGATAACGTAACGTATTGATGTAGTATGATGCGTATTGATACAGTATGATACGTATTGATATAGTATGATGCGTATTGATATAGTATGATACGTATTGATGTAGTATGATGCGTATTGATATAGTATGATACGTATTGATGTAGTATGATACGTGTTGATATAGTTTACATTAATTGGATTGCTGATATTTAGCGAAAGTCTTGTTTTGAGCCATATTGATAGTTCCTGCCATGGTGTTCTGAATATCAGGGCATAGCTATCAATGACATTCTAAATTCACTGACGGGCACGGGTGGGGAAAGTTCGAATTGGTCTTCAGTAACCCATGCTTGTCGTAAGAGGCGACTAACGGGATCGAGTGGTCAGGCTCACTGACTTGGTTGACACATGTCATCGTATTCCAGTCGTGTAGATTGATGCTCATGCTGTTGATCACTGGATTGTCTGGTCCAAGCTCGATTATTTACAGACCGCCGCCTTAAAGCTGGAATATTGGTGAGTGCGGCGTGAACCTAAATTCGTTCACTCACTCACTCACATACCTAAACCTATATACCTAAACTGTTATACCTACTTGTTTTAGTGTCCTATGTTGTCGACAGACATTTAAACCTAATTAATATGTTTTCATCTCAGTTAACCTGTAGTCTGGCTGCATTATTTCCGTTCCGATGTACGACGTTAACTCACTCACTCACCCAATAGTTGAACTAAAACGTCTACTGTCGCTGCCTGGCTGGAGTCGACCTGCGTGTAAAAGAGTTCTGTTCAGCTTCGTATTTGATATACCGAATTCGCACGAGGTGATACTATTACGTGACTGTCTGTTTTGCCACAGGTACTCCGTATTTGATGTGCCCAGGGATCACAACACCTGGCTCTACTGCAAACCTGACCTGTACAAGACTCAACTTTACTGAATCCCTGGAAGGAGCACTGGTTACCGTCTGTCATCTGTACAACGGGACGTGTACAACACCTGAGGGAGCACTGGCTACCGTCTGTCATCTGTACAACGGGATGTGTACAACTCCCGAGGGAGCGCTGACTACCGTCTGTCATCTGTACAACGGGACGTGTACAACACCCGAGGGAGCGCTGGCCACCGTCTGTCATCTGTACAACGGGACGTGTACAACACCTGAGGGAGCACTGGCCACCGTCTGTCATCTGTACAACGGGACGTTTACAACTCCAGAGGGAGCGCTGGCTACCGTCTGTCATCTGTACAACGGGACATGTACAACACGGGATGACGGGATCAGCGCGTATGTCTTCAATACAACCACCAGTGTTGTCACCACACTGACACTTGGCGGATACTGGTTGTGTGTTGAAGCACCAGACCCCTGCAATATCCCTGTTGGAGGTAAGTTCATGAAGTCAAACAAAGATGAATAAATTCGTGTATTATCCACCAATGGCAGTCTCTCCAATCTCACAGTGACTACTGTCACAGATGATATGTGTTTAATATCGGCCCCAGAGTAACCGCCTCCCTCTTTGGGGAAGTAAGTCTGAAGTAACGTTACCACAGGGTACTTACTACACAGCCTGATTTACAGCTCAGTGACGTCGTAATGAAATTTGGTTCCCAGCATGCTCCATAGATTCGCTCACACAATGAGGGCATTAGTCTGTCACACAGTCCCTGAACCACATTATTTTCCCTAATGTCTAGCCATCCCTGCAATGTAGTCTGTCTCACAGTCCCTGAACCACATTATTTTCCCTAATGTCTAGCCATCCCTGCAATGTAGTCTGTCTCACAGTCCCTGAACCACATTATTTTCCCTAATGTCTAGCCCTCCCTGCAATGTAGTCTGTCTCACAGTCCCTGAACCACATTATTTTCCCTAATGTCTAGCCCTCCCTGCCATGTAGTCTGTCTCACAGTCCCTGAACCACATTATTTTCCCTAATGTCTCAGCCCTCCCTGCAATGTAGTCTGTCTCACAGTCCCTGAACCACATTATTTTCCCTAATGTCTAGCCCTCCCTGCAATGTAGTCTGTCTCACAGTCCCTGAACCACATTATTTTCCCTAATGTCTAGCCCTCCCTGCAATGTAGTCTGTCTCACAGTCCCTGAACCACATTATTTTCCCTAATGTCTAGCACTCCCTACAATGTAGTCTGTATCACAGTCCCTGAACCACATTATTTCCACTACTGCCTAGCCCTCCCTGCAATGTAGTCTGTCTCACAGTCCCTGAACCACATTATTTTCCCTAATGTCTAGCCCTCCCTGCAATGTAGTCTGTCTCACAGTCCCTGAACCACATTATTTTCCCTAATGTCTAGCCCTCCCTGCAATGTAGTCTGTCTCACAGTCCCTGAACCACATTATTTTCCTAATGTCTAGCCCTCCCTGCAATGTAGTCTGTCTCACAGTCCCTGAACCACATTATTTTCCCTAATGTCTAGCCCTCCCTGCAATGTAGTCTGTCTCACAGTCCCTGAACCACATTATTTTCCCTACTGCCTAGCCATCCCTGCAATGTAGTCTGTCTCACAGTCCCTGAACCACATTATTTTCCCTAATGTCTAGCCCTCCCTGCAATGTAGTCTGTCTCACAGTCCCTGAACCACATTATTTTCCCTAATGTCTAGCCCTCCCTGCAATGTAGTCTGTCTCACAGTCCCTGAACCACATTATTTTCCCTAATGTCTAGCCCTCCCTGCAATGTAGTCTGTCTCACAGTCCCTGAACCACATTATTTTCCCTAATGTCTAGCCATCCTACAATGTAGTCTGTCTCACAGTCCCTGAACCACATTATTTTCCCTAATGTCTAGCCATCCCTACAATGTAGTCTGTCTCACAGTCCCTGAACCACATTATTTTCCCTAATGTCTAGCCCTCCCTACAATGTAGTCTGTCTCACAGTCCCTGAACCACATTATTTTCCCTAATGTCTAGCCATCCCTGCAATGTAGTCTGTCTCACAGTCCCTGAACCACATTATTTCCCCTAATGTCTAGCCATCCTACAATGCTAAAACCCTAAATGAAGCAAGTCTTGATTTCCCCGATCTCCCAACTCACTGGGGCTCTTTTTCAATTTCAATGGGTTTATTTGTTACTATCAAAATTATATATTCCGAGACTAAGCGTAATCTATGCGAGCATCAACGTCTGTACTCATCTGTTATCTTCCAAGTATCTTGGTTTCAGTAGTAAGGAAAACTAAATTACCGACTTCGTAATGCGTACAAACCAAGTCTTACAGTCACGAAGCAGTATTAACGCTACGACTATCTTAAGTCTATGTTAAAATAAGTTACGATAATCCTAGTGCTACGACTGTCTTAAGTCTATGTTAAAATAAGTTACGATACTCTTAGTGTTACGACTGTCTTAAGTCTATGTTAAAATAAGTTACGATAATCCTAGTGCTACGACTGTCTTAAGTCTATGTTAAAATAAGTTACGATAATCCTAGTGCTACGACTGTCTTAAGTCTATGTTAAAATAAGTTACGATACTCTTAGTGCTACGACTGTCTTAAGTCTATGTTAAAATAAGTTACGATAATCCTAGTGCTACGACTGTCTTAAGTCTATGTTAAAATAAGTTACGATAATCCTAGGCTCTACGACTGTCTTAAGTCCATGTTAAAATAAGTTACGATAATCCTAGTGCTACATCTGTCTTAAGTCTACGTTAAAATAAGTTACGATAATCCTAGTGCTACGACTGTCTTAAGTCTATGTTAAAATAAGTTACGATAATCCTAGCGCTTGACTGTCTTAAGTCTATGTTAAAATAAGTTACTATTATCCTAGTGCTACGACTGTCTTAAGTCTATGTAAAATAAGTTACGATAATCCTAGCTGTACGACTGTCTTAAGTCTATGTTAAACTAAGTTACGATAATCTTAGCGCTACGACCACTTTGTCATACGGGTCATTGACTTGTAAATCACTTTCACCAAATATCCTGTAGTATCGTTGCTAAATATCATGATTAAACATATCATTTGTCGAACAGAGCCTCCGGCTGATCATACAACCGCCATCGCAGCTGGAATCATCGTGGGAGTTGTCATGGTGACGGCCATTCTGGTGTTCTGTCGGATGAAGCGAGCAATCCGCGCTTACAGCCAAACACCAAAAAGCTTTGATTCGACCAGCACAAATCAAACGTTAGACGCATAGGCTGGGAGTTGGTGTAGCTAAAGAATCCGGTTTAATGGAATAACCCCCTCTGAGGTAAAAGAAACAATAGGGCCTGTAAGTCTCGCGAGGCGCTACTTCCGGTTCTAAGCTGGTTCCCGGCTCCCTTTGCACGCGCCAACTTTCGATATGCGAGACGGGGCCAAGCTTACTTCCGGTACCAGATTTCCGGTGACAAGCGTATATTCAAGAACCAGTTCTGGTTCCAAATTGCGCCACCGTCAAAGATGACTTTACTAGACCGGACCAAGCGTACAACCATGCTTGGCTGTCACAGCTGTTGAAAGTCATAATAGATGGCTAATTTTGGGATGGTTAGATAGGAAGGATTATCGGTTCCTTACTGTCCACTGACAACCATGAGACCATTTATTATTATCATACCATTTATGAAATTGTTTGTCAGCGGAAGTACTGGGGTCTCGCGAAGTGTCGTGACCTACATACAGGCCCTATGTTCTACAGTGGACGGGTAATAGTCAAGGCGTCGTGTCTGTGTACATCCGGTAATGCACTTAACTCAGTCTTTGCGTTGTTGATCCAATGAGCAGTTTCATATTTTCTCTCTAAAATGTGTGTGTTTGGAATCTGCTTCTTTCCGAATTTGAACATGTTCATCTGTTTCACTATATTTGGACTTTCGATTGCTAATGACCTCTTTTTTTATTTATTTCATATTATTCAATTCCAAAGTATTACATCATTGTATGAGTTATCCGACATAACCGAAAAAAGATGAATAAAGAGAGCATTCGAAGGGACCACAAATCGTTACTTTGATGTCATCATATCGAAACGTCGCATCTGTTGCAATAAAGACATTGACTATCCAGAAAAGTGCTTCTCTTCACCACACAGGCTTCTTAATGGCACTTAAAGAAGTTCTCTTTACCAGAACGTACAACAATCAGGTATTAAAGTAATCGATAGGTAGGTACATGGACGCAGTTCTGTTCGTCAGGGCCATGTCAATATATTGATGTAGGTTCCAACCCGGTATTGGCTCACACAATGATATTACTTGTGACAAGTCGGCAAATGATCTTCAATGTGTACCTGTCGAGTTTGTTTTACTTAAGTGGTCAAAAGGAACACGTACTATATTTGGGATCACGTGATTGCGTGAGGGTTAACACTGTTCTGGAAAAGTAAATGTTCGTTGCCTGACGCCACACACCAGCACTCAACAAACAAGACAATCCAGTGACTGAAGAACCAGACAATCCAGTGACTGAAGAACCAGACAATACAGAGACTGAAGAACCAGACAATCCAGTGACTGAACCAGACGAACCAGACAATCCAGTGACTGAAGAACAAGACAATACAGTGACTGAAGAACCAAACAATCCAGTGACTGAAGAACAAGACAATACAGTGACTGAAGAACCAGACAATCCAGTGACTGAATAACCAGACAATCCAGTGACTGAAGAACAAGACAATCCAGTGACTGAAGAACAAGACAATACAGTGACTGAAGAACCAGACAATCCAGTGACTGAAGAACCAGACAATCCAGTGACTGAAGAACCAAACAATCCAGTGACTGAAGAACAAGACAATACAGTGACTGAAGAACCAGACAATCCAGTGACTGAAGAACCAGACAATCCAGTGACTAAAGAACAAGACAATCCAGTGACTGAAGAACCAGACAATACAGTGACTGAAGAACCAGACAATACAGTGACTGAAGAACAAGACAATGAAGTGGTCGTTGAACTAGACAATCTAGTGACTGAAGAACAAGACAATCAAGTGGTCGTTGAGCTAGACAATCTAGTGACTGAAGAACAAGACAATGAAGTGGTCGTTGAACTAGACAATCTAGTGACTGAAGAACAAGACAATCAAGAGATACATGAACTAGACAGTCCAGTGACCAATGGACCAGACAATACAGTGACTGAAGAACCAGATAATCCAGTGACTGAAGAACCAGACAATCCAGCGACTGAAGAACCAAACAATCCAGTGACTGAAGAACAAGACAATACAGTGACTGAAGAACCAGACAATCCAGTGACTGAAGAACCAGACAATACAGTGACTGAAGAACCAGACAATCTAGTGACTGAAGAACAAGACAATGAAGTGGTCGTTGGACTAGACAATCTAGTGACTGAAGAACAAGACAATCAAGAGATACATGAACTAGACAGTCCAGTGACCAATGGACCAGACAATACAGTGACTGAAGAACCAGATAATCCAGTGACCGAAGAACCAGACAATACAGTGACTGAAGAACCAGACAATCAAGAGATTCATGAACTAGACAGTCCAGTGGCCATTGGACCAGACAATACAGTGACTGAAGAACCAGACAACCCAGTGACTGAAGAACCAGATAACCCAGCGACTGAAGAACAAGATAATCCAGTGACTGAAGAACCAGACAATACAGTGACTGAAAAAACAGACAATACAGTGACTGAAGAACCAGTCAATCCAGTGACTGAAGAACCAGATAATCCAGTGACTGAAGAACCAGACAATACAGTGACTGAAGAACCAGATAATCCAGTGACTGAAGAACAAGATAATCCAGTGACTGAAGAACCAGACAATCAAGAGATCCATGAACTAGACAGTCCAGTGGCCATTGGACCAGACAATACAATGACTGAAGTACCAGATAATCCAGTGACCATTAGGTCAGGCAAAACAGTGACCGAAGAACCAGACAATCCAGTGACTGAACATCCATGCAATCGAGTGATCCATGAACTAGACAGTCCAGAGGCCATTGGACCAGACAATGCAATGACTGAAGTACCAGATAATCCAGTTACCATTAGAACAGGCAATACAGTGTATTGTCTGGTCCAATGGTCACTGGATTATCTGGTTCTTCAGTCACTGTATTGTCTGATCCAATGGCCACTGGACTGTCACTTGACAATCCATTAATTGTACTCAATAAAAAAGCAAGTGACCAATGGACCAGACAGTCAAGTGACCGATGGACCAGACAGTCAAGTGACCGATGGACCAGACATTCAAGTGATCGATGGACCACACAATCCAGTTACCGATGGACCAGACAAGCAAGTGAGCAATGGACCAGACAATCAAGTGACCGATGGACCAGACAATCAAGTGACTGATTGACCAGACTGTCAAGTGACCGATGTACCTCGCATTCAAGTGGCCGATGGACCACACAATCTAGTGACTGAAGAACCAGACAATCAAGTTACTGATGGACCAGACAATCAAGTGACCAATGGACCAGACAGACAAGTGATCGATGGACCACACAATCCAGTGACTGAAGAACCAGACAATTTTAGTTACCGATGGACCAGACAATGAAAAGACCAGTGGACCAGACAGTCAAGTGATCGATGGACCAGACAATGAAGTGACCAATGGACCAGACAATCAAGTGACCAATAGACCAGACAATCAAGTGACCAATGGATCAGACATTTAAGTGACCGATGGACCAGACAGTGAAGTGACCAAGAACCAGACAATCAAGTGACCAATGGACCAGACAGCCTAGTAATCGATGGACCAGACAATGAAGTGACCAATGGACCAGACAGTCAAGTGATCAATGGACCACACAGTCCAGTGACTGAAGAACCAGAAAATCAAGTTACCGATGGACCAGACAATCAAGTGATCAGTGGACCACACAGTCAAGTGACCAATGGACCATACAATCAAGTGACCAATGGACCAGACATTAAGTGACCGATGGACCAGACAGTGAAGTGACCATGCCCATGGATCCGACATTCAAGTGACCCATGGACCAGACAATGAAGTGACCAATGGACCAGACAATGATCGATGACCAGTGACTGAAGAACCAGAAAACAAGTTACCGTCAGACAGTGATCGATGGACCAGTGATCAATCCAGACAATGAACTGACCAATGAACCAGAAAATCAAGTGACCGATGACCACACAATCAAGTGACCAATGGATCAGACATTTAAGTGACCGATGACCCGACAGTGAAGTGAAGAACCAGACAATCAAGTGAGTGGACCAGACAGTCAATCGATGGACCAGATCAGTGATGAAGAACCAGAAAATGAAGTGACCGATGGACCAGACAATCAAGTGACCAGTGGATAGTCAAGTGATCAATGGACCAGACAATGAAGTGACCAATGGACCACACAATCAAGTGACCAATGGATCAGACATTTAAGTGACCGATGGACCCGACAGTGAAGTGACCAAGAACCAGACAATCAAGTGACCAATGGACCAGACAGTCTAGTAATCGATGGACCAGACAATGAAGTGACCAATGGACCAGACAGTCAAGTGATCGATGGACCACACAATCCAGTGACTGAAGAACCAGAAAATCAAGTTACCGATGGACCAGACAATCAAGTGATCAGTGGACCAGACAGTCAAGTGATCGATGGACCAGACAGTGAACTGACCAAGGACCCGACATTTAAGTGACCGATGGACCAGACAATGAAGTGACCAATGGACCAGACATTCAAATGACCGATGGACCAGACAATGAAGTCACTCAGACTGAAGACGACATGCTGTACAGGTCCGGTCTCTCCAGCCAACACACACACTTGACTAAACACAGAACGTGTGTTTACTGAAGATCGTGTCCAAGGTCACGTTTCCAGCCAAATATGACGACGACGAAGAACTGACTCATGCATAAACATCGGTGAAGCGTGAAGACTTCATTCAACAAAATTCCAGCCATATGATTGAATCAGGACGAGACGATTAAGGGAGTGCTGAGATGAGTGAGTATGGTTTTACGCCGCTTTTAGCAATACTCCTGCTTCACACATTGTACCCATGTGGAACCCTGGTCTTTGGCGTGACAAGCGAACGCCTAAACCACTGGGCTACCCCGCCGCCCTACTTACGCGATTTGCGCAGTTGGTATAGGGTGACAAGCATACACAAGGTCTTCCCCTCTGATCATCCGATCCCGTCAGTCGCCACTACAAACATGGGATGCTGATGACCAATTCTAAGTCTGGTCGTCATGGAGATAAGTCGCCATTTTCCACATGCGTAGCTTGCATGACACAATTGTCTGATGCCCCTTGATACTGATTTAGTATTGTTAAAGGCGGTGTTCATTCACCCAGACATGCATTTTTGAATTTAATGTTGTAGAT